ATCTCACTAGATACCTAAAAAGCCTTTGACAAAATCCAACACCCCTTCAAGATAAAGGTTTTGGAGAGATCAGGAATAACAGGAACATGCCTTAACATAATAAAAGCAATATACAGCAAGCCGACAGCCAACATCAAATTAAATGGAGAGAAACTAAATGCAGGTCCTCTAAAATCAGGGACAAGACAAGTCTGTCCACTCTCTCCATACCTCTTCAATATTGTCCTTGAAGTCTAGCTAGAGCAATAAAACAACAAAAGGAGATCAAGGGGATACAAATTGGAAAGGAAGAAGTCAAACATTCACTATTTGCAGATGATATGATAGTCTACATAAGTGACCAAAAAAACTCTACCAGGGAACTCCTAGAGCTGACAAACACCTTTAGCAGAGTGGCAGGATACAAGATTAACTCAAAAAATCTGTAGCCCTACTATATACAGATGATACATTCATGGAGAAAGAAATCAGAGAAAAGTCACCCTTTACAATTGCTACAAACAATATAAAATACCTTGGGTAAACGCTAACAGATTCAGTGCAATCCCCATCAAAATCCCAACACAATTCTTCACAGATCTTGAAAGAACAATTCTCAACTTTATATGAAGAAACAAAAGACCCAGGATAGCCAAAACAACCCTGTACAATAAAGGAACTTCTGTAGCCATCACCATCCCTGACATCAAGCTCTATTACAGAGCCATAGTCCTGAAAACAGCTTGGTATTGGTACAAAAATAGACAGGTAGACCAATAGAGTTGAAAAACCTGATATTAACCCACACACCTACGAACACTTGATTTTTGACAAAGAAGCTAAAGTTATAAGACTTTAGATAGAATAAAGAAAGCATCTCCAACAAATGGTGCTAGTACAACTGGATGCTGGAATGTAGAAGACTGCAGATAGATTCATGTCTATCGCCATGCACAAAACTCTAGTCCAAATGGATCAAAGACCTCAATATCAATCCAGCTACACTGAACCTATTAGAAGACAAATTGGTAAATACCCTTGAATTAATTGGAACAGGAGACTGCTTCCTGAACATTACACCAGTAGCACAGACACTGAGATCAACAACTGATAAATGGGGTCTCCTGAAACTGAGAAGCTCTATAAGGCTAAGGATACAGTCAGTAAGACAAAATGGCAGCCCACAGACTGGGAAAAGATATTC